TGATGTATAAGTGGCTCAAGTTTTCAAGAAGAGTGATGCTCGTTGCTCTTCACAAGCATCCAGAGGCCATGGTGAAAGTCCCATCAGAGGAAGAAGTYRATGCWTATGTTAAGGCAATTGGAGAAAAGTATCCAAGGCTTGAAGAAAACAGGGTCTGGGGTGCTGCAGATGGGCTCAAGAGCGTCCTAGCCCAGTCAGAGGACTGGTACAAACAAAAGGYGTATTACAATGCTTGGAAGGAAAACACCTTCCTTAACAGTGTGTTTGCCTTTGCCCCAGATGGAAGGATCAGGATTGCAGTTTACAACTGCCCGGGGGCTTGGCATGACAGTGCAGTTGCTGACTATGGCGTGTATGAAAGAATTGAGAAGATCAACAAAACCTGTAGKGGAGCAAAGGTGGTTGTTGATTCGGCGTTTGCACTGAAGAAATACCAGGATAGCCTAATCAAGAGCTCACAGAGAGAGCCCAGCAATGCAAGCCTCCTCTTGTTGAATAGAGACGCCACATCCTTGAGACAGATGTCCAAGTGGGGGATGAGGATGATCCAGGGACAGTTTCCAAGGATTAAAGACAAAATGTTCCTTGAAGAGCTTGGAGACAGGAGGATCATCATGAACCTCCTCATCAACTTGTACAACTACCAGTGTAGTTACATAGGACACAACCAAATCCTATCGACCTTCATGAAGACACCAGCGGCCACGACTGCCGACAGTCCCTATGAGAAGGTTGCTCTTGCTGATGGCTACTTCCAAGTAGGTAGGCAGATCTCCCCGGATGGCAATGGAGTATTTCCTCGGTAAGGAAATCCCATGGTGAAGAAGAAATTGTTGTTAGTTTGAAATAAGAGGGATTGGTTTGAAACAAGAGAGATTAGTGCGAGTATTACGACAACGATCAACGACAATGATGTAAGGCACGGATCGATAGAACTCAATCGATACAACACAATCGATACAGCTGAACAGTGTCATAACAAACCCTTTTGTCGATAACTCGCCATGGCCATGGTCCCCTCCCTTATCACCATTGGAATTACTAGCTGTCGTTTAGTTTATTCCACGTACTCAGTTCAGTACGTGAAATAATGAATGATACTGTATTTGCTGTGAAATACTGTATTCGCAAAGAACAGCTTGCTGTATTTTGCTAGCAACAGCTTGCTGTATTTGCTTGCTTCCGTATTCCTCCTAGTACCAGATTCTACGGAGTTACAGTAGAACCCAGGTTTTCATGTATCGGAGACCGGTTTTCATGTACCGGAGACCGGTATCAGAAACGGGATTACAAAGAGGGTTCGCACTATCCAACGGATGTCATTGATCGGCATCCACATACATTCTAATCACCTCAATCCTCATAACCGAATGTTGATTTAAAACGCATTGCTGTGTCTTAGTTCAATCAATGTTCTTCATTGCAGTATATAAATGTAATCTAATCACGGCAAAGTTACAAAAGTATACATAAAAACCRCAAATGCTTAGGAACTGGTKGAAATAGTACCAGTTGTACAGTCGACGGAGTACGAGACAACAGGGAACTGTGGGGACTCCTTCAGCTACTGCTTTGCTCATTGTATTCATTTCTTTAGTATAGTATCGTGTAAGCATGTAGTTTAGTTTAATCAATGGTTAATGAATTGCTGTTTGCTTCTCCTCACCATGGGATTCGAGTGTTTCCTGCTCTTCTTCACGTCGTTGTCTTTTGCGTGGAGGCATGGGCTGGGGCGTGGAAAGACCATCAGCTGCAGCTGTCGATGAAGGAGCTGTCGATGCAACAGAAGCCAGGGGAGGACCATAGTGGTAATGGTATGGAGGAGGAGGACCATGGTAAGATTGTTGTTGTTGCTGCTGCCAAGTATTCATCATGCTAACCGCTGCTCCAAGAAATTTCTCTGCTACATCCTTCACTCCACTCCACATCTCAATGCTGCGTTCATCTCTTTTTTGCTCTCTTTTGTCATGGTTCTCGATGAATTGGGTGAATGCTGCTGCATCAGGGACCCTTGAATTCCTCTGTTGATAGGCTCTCTTCTTGGCAGTAGCAGGGGTGTTTGATGGTCTTACAACAACTGAAGGCGTCAAGACAGAAGATCCGGCTACAGCCGGTCTGGCTACAGCAGGCGTCGAAACCACAGAAGATCCGGCTACAGGAGGAGCAGGCGTCTCGCTCCTGTTGGGGGGGGGGGGATCTCCCCGACAACATCCAGTTGATCACCTTCCTCTCCAGGGTTCAATGGGTTCAATGGGTCTTGTTCCTCCACTTCAGCAAGAATACTGTCCGGAACCCCATTTTTGGGTGCTGAACCCTCCACAGCCTCACTTTTAACATAGCCTTGGACCAGATCAAAGTCCTCCTCTCCAGTACCAAGATTTGCTCGGCGACCAATCAAGACGTGGGCTTCCCGGGCCATCCTCACGTAAGCTGGCATRTTTGGATTTCCTGTGGAACTCTTGATCCTCTTTATTGCTGCATACTTGGTCTTGATAGATGATCTGGTTCTGTAGAAGGGCCAAGCTTTTGCGTGGTCAGCTACTATGAGATCCCACTCATCATTACTAATGGGAACCCTGTCAAGTATCATACCAACGAGACTGTCCAGTTCATCATGAGTGTAGTTTGCTACTCCTGCCTTGCGGCCACTGCTGCCAGCCATCTTCGATACAAATATAGTGTGGGGGATGGGAGGACCACAACAATTGGCCGGCTCCTCTAGTTGCTCGTCCTCCTCCTCTTGCTCTCTTTGCTGCAACAAAGAAAGAAAATAGATTGCACTGACTAACAGCACCGACCGAGACATACTTTATGTCCCTTAATGCTGTCCCTTGGCGCCATTCTTAACAATAATAATAGGCGCCTCCAGTGTTATTGTTTGTCCATGCTCGTATAATTTTGTCGAGTTCTGTCTTAAGATTCTGGCGGGCTTTCTGTTGAGTCTTTCAGAGATTTTCAACGGACTCGAAATTTTGAATCGTGAGTTCCATCATAAATTTTATTACATTTGATGCGTGTCGAATGAGGTCTTCAAATGTAATAAATTTTTGTTATAAATGTGCTACTTTTGATAGACAGACAGACCAAAAAGTAGCACATCTATAATAACGGGAATCACCCATTAATCCGAATCTTCGTTGTCGTACGGTACAAAAAGAACGAATAATACTACGAGTACGAGTACAGTACCAAGTACGTAGCGCGGAGATGAATATACCGCCTCAATAATCTCGTCCTACCGGTATCTCCCATCACTTTTCACTTTTTGGATTCATCAGCTTGGGCTGTTGGAATTCAACGAAATCAAAAGGAACTATAAAAACAGCGCATCCTACGACACTGTATCTTGTTTTACTTTCAGCACAATATACGACAGGATTGGAAAAGGCCGAACCCTTCGCGTCTGCTTCACCCTACTATAACCTCGCCTTGTTTCACTCCTGACTAGATTTGTCCTGCGATTGTGTTAAAGATTATCGAGTGAGGTTCGTTTGATCGGGTCGGATTGAATCTTGAACAGACACTTCCTTCGAATCGAAGCAAGGAAACAACGAAAGAAACACGCAATTCAAATCACTTCCGCGATGGGACGCAACTCGAAACACCGCCAACCGCAGAACGGCAGTCGGCAGCAGGCTGCGAACGAGCTGTTGAATTTCCATTTCTCGACCCCGGCCACCGCTCGCCAACACAGCAGCAGTTATAACAGCAACGACTACAACTCCCGGAACCGACGCGGAAGAAACCACAAACACGACAACCACCGCAGGAGCGCGAAACACAGGGCCTCCGTCCGCCAGACGGCGGACTCGTCCATGTTCCACCTGCATTCCTCCGCGGAGCACACCTTTCTCCTGACGCGTCGGTCCCCCTCTAGGATGAACACGGCCGCCGGCAACGACTATTCCTTCCACGGATCCGACAAGAGCGTCCGCTGGGATTCCGTCCGGGCGGTCCGGCAGCGGGTCCCGTCCAACGGGGAGGACAATGCCTGCCCCATTTGCCTCTGCGACTTTGTGTCGGCGCGGATCAGCAAGTGCGGGCACTCCTTCTGCCTCCCGTGCGTCCTCCGGCACGCCCAGACCTATGCGGCCAACAACCCGTACCACCCGGTCAAGTGCCCCTGCTGCGGGGTCCCCCTCGTCCTGGAGGACGCGAGGCCCGTTTGCTTCGAGGCAGTCCGGCCGGTGGTCCTCCAGCAGAAGCTGCGGCTGCGCAAGCTGCACCGCCAAAAGACCTCGTCGTCGCCCTATCTGCCGATCCGGGAAGCGCCCATGCATTCCAACCCGCACTTTGCTCCCACCGATGGCATCGACGCCGATGCCAGGTACTCGAGGTTCAACTATCTGGATCCGGACGCCTACCACGCGCTGCTGGTGGCCAATCAGGGAGAACTGGAGCGGGAGGCGAGAGAATTGGAGGGATCAGGTTTTGGAGATGCTTCCCCGGAGAGGATGTACCTGAGCATCGCACTGGGTATGGTCCTGGCGGAGCAGCAAATCGCCCGCTCGGAATACAAGGAAGAAGCGAGCCTCATGGCGCGTTTTGCCGAGCCGGGCAGCGGGATGTACCAGCCGCAGTCTCCGGCTCTTGTCTTTTTGGAAGAAGAGAAGGGAAAAGATCCCAACGCCAGCAGCGGGGGTGGTGGTGGTTCCTGCAATTCCGCGGAGCTTTTGCAGCACGAGATCGACTCTGGACCCACCGAGAACGACGCCGGTGAGGACGGATCGTCGTGCACCCCGCAGAGGCATCGGGGAGAGTCGATTTCTTCCTACAAATCGGTCGACACGGCGTCGTCGGCGGTGAGTTTCAGCCTAGAGACGGGCGAACCAGGTGATGGCGTGGCGGCCGGCCGCGAGCGATCCACCAGGAAAAAGGCCCTCAGGAAACCAAGGGCCGGCAGCATGTACCTGGACACGGAGAACGCGGTCCACCTCTACCAGGCGGAAGACGGACAGCTGGTCTTTCTGAACGGCTTCAACATGACGTGCCTCCTATCCGATTTCTCGAAGGGCCCGCCCGCTTCCCCCGGGTCACCCCCGCAACCGCCTGTTCGACCGGACGGAGGGACACCGCCGGACCACCACGCTCCGCGATCGACAGCGGCCGGGCCGCTCCCCGACGTGGTCGAAGGAAAGGTCCTGGAAAAGGAGCTCGTCCACGTGACGCACGACACCCGGAAACGCATGCCCTTTCTGAACCACGTTCCCCTCTATACGGACGTGGTCTTTGTCGAGCTGGACCTGAACCACCTCCTCTCCGGCGCCACGAGGCGGAAGTTCCGGAGCGAGACCGAAAAGCGGAAGAACAAGCGCCAATCGAGAGCCCGGGCCGAGAAACGGGCCGACCGCATGGCCCGAAAGGAAGACCAGGAGCGGATCAACGCGCGCAAGGCCCAGCTGCCACCGGTCGTCGATCCGGACGATTGTTTCTTCCAGACCCTGCAGATAGCTCCGCCGCCGCCGGTGGAATCGGAGGCAGCGGAGCCGCCCGGCCCCCTACCCGGAGGGGAGGCCCAAAGCGGCATTACAGCCGTTGAGTTTCCGCCACAAGCTGGTCCGCCGGCCCTCGATTTTTCCCGGGCCGCCCGGAGGGGGGACCTCCCCGGTCGTTCCGACGAAGGGGCCTTTCCCGCGCTGTCATCGGCCCGGGCGTTCCCGGCTCTGGGAGGAGCCTCGCGGTCCCCTGGAGGGGCCAGGCCAACCGCCAGCAGGGGATGGGGGGGGGGTCCCGAAACAGGCCGTTTGGGTCCTCTGGCGGCGCCGGGTGGGGGCAAAACGAAGAAAAAGAAGGCTCAGAAGCTGGTTTTGTTTTCGACGGGGGGGTCCCGTGCCTACTAGTAGTGTAGCCCGTTGCCCGGCAGAGCAGAACAAATACAAAGAAGACCCGAAGCTGCTACGGCCAATGCCTACTAAGCGGCAGCGGGGATCCATCCGGTGTGCCCGGCAGAGCAAAACGAATAAAATCCCCATGCCTACGAAGCAGCAGAGGCAAAGCGATGGGGAAAAAGGCCCGGAAGCTGGTCCTGGTTTCGACCGGGAAAGAGAAACAACACAACCTGCTTGCGACCGGGGGTTCCTAGAAGTAGTAAATCCCTTCGAACGTCTTCGGCCAGACCCTTTTTTCTAGGACCTAGTTTTGTTCTGGTTTCTGCTACGCCACGACAAACAAGGGTGCAACCACCGTATGATTAGTTTAGTCTAGTACGCACGTATTGCATTGCATTGTGTTGTGTTGTGTTGTGTTTTCAACATCGGTGGCACTAGACCCTGCAAAAGCCCGTAGCGGGCCCCTTGGGGGGTTCCGAACCAGATTCCCCGGTGGGTTCTGGCTTTTCCTCGGGCCGCTCCTTCAGGGCAATGTGCTTCTGGATGGTCTTCCCACGGGCCCACAGCCCCGAGAAAAAGGCTCCGGTGCGCATGGTGTCGATGTGGAGCCTGGCGGCGTCACCGGTCTTCTTGTTGCGCTCCCCGGCCTCCTCCTCGGTCATCATGGCCGACTCGAAGAGGCGGGCGTTGGCTCCCTCCCACGTGAGCTTGTGCCTGTCGGCCCGCGAGAGGGGGACTGGGTCGCTCCGCAGAGCGTACCGCAGGTGGTCCACGCATTCCTTCTTGGTGTCATACGCGAGGCAGTTCGGAAACTGTAGAAAAAACGTATTGGAGGCTGCGGTGCAAGGAAAAGAAAAGCAGGAAAGAAGACCATACAAACAAAAAAAGGAAAGCGGTGAGGCGGTGCTTGGACAGTTCTGTCACAAACGAATCGAAACCAAAAGCGAGCCAAACAAAGATCGACAAACTCACGGTGCCTGGGAACGACCACGAACTTTCCCATGGCCAGGGCCTCGGCCGTGGTGGTGCACAGGACCTCGGTGACGGAGGGGTTGAGAAAGACCCTGTGCCCGGAAACGTCCCGGAGGACCGCGTGGTCCCGGACCCCCAGAAAGCGGGCCGGGACGGGGTTCAGTCGCAGCTCGTAGCGGGACCGGGGGGGGTCGAAGCGGAACTTGCCGACGAGGCCGCCGCTTCCGCCTCCGGAGGACGGCGTGTCGTCGGAGAAGGTGCAGCCGCTTCCGCTGCTGCCGCTGGCGTCCTCGGGTTCCTCGCTGTAGAGGCTCCGAAAGCCCATGCTGGAGAGCTTGACGCCGAGGGTGGCAATGGCGCTGGTGACCTTGCTGGTGGTCTCGGCAGTCTTCTCGCCGAGGTGGGCGACGACCTGCTTCGGGTGACGCCTCCCGGCCTCGGTCCGGGGGGCGCTCTCTCGGGTCTGTACCTCCACCACCAGCTCGTCCGACGGGACAGCCTGTCCGTTCTCGATCTGACCGCGGAGGCTTCCCTCCCTGCTGAAGAGCAGGGCGGCCGTCTTGTCCTCCGGGCTGGATTTTGCGGCCGGCGGGACGGGGGATCCCGACCCCTCCCGCGGGGACCGGGCCCCGTCGAGGCTCGCGATCGAGGCGCTGGAGAGGGTTTTCTTGGCGAGTCCGGTCCGGCCGAGAAAGGCCCGAGTGATGGCGTCGAGATCGGCCCCCGAGCCGTAGACGTCGATGGGAAAGTATTCCCCGGTTTCCTTTCGGTACAAGTCCTCGATTTCCAGGAGTTTGTCGAATCCCTTGGCCCAGATGACCTTTCCAATAAAGTAGATGGGTTCCGGCAGGAAACCGTCGCCATCGGTTCCTTCCTCTGCCGCCGTTTCTTGTTCGTCGTCCGGGGGGGCCTCCCCGGCCTCCTTTGTTCCGATTTCGTTGCCTTCGTCGCCGTTGCCTTCGTGGTGGTGGTCGTCGTCGGCCTCGGCGTCCGCCAGGGCCGGGAGGTCCCTCGCCTGGGCGGGAGCTAGCGACGGCACCTTCGTCGACGCCGGCGTTTCCCGGACAAAGAACTCCGGTCGCACCCCGTGGACGTTCCGAGTGACCTCCCGGGGGGCGTCCAGCTCCGGGAGGGTGTCGCTGAGGCGGATCAACCGGTGCGTGTAGGCACGCACGCAGACCGCGGAGAGGGCGTGGAGGGCCGAGGCGGTGACGAGCGAGGCACCCAGTCCGTACTGGCGCATATAGGCCGAGTAGTTCGTGTGCAGGATCCCCACGACGTAGCGGAACTTGGCCGTCCAGCCGATGACGGCCCGTTCCTCCATTTTCTGGCGGGTTTCTTCGAGGAGTTCGTCGTTGTCTTCGTCGTCCTGGCCGGCGATGGCGTGTCCGTTGCTTTTGTTGCTGGTGTGTTGGTCCTCTCCTGTGCCGTCCCCTTCCTGCTGACGCTCCAACTCGCTGCCCGTGGTGGTGCAAGCACCGCACGACGAATCGTGGTCCATGATGCTGTCCATGGCGCTCGCCGCCGATGCCGTGGCGCAGGAGCTCTCGGCGTCCTGGGAAGAGTGGTTTTTCCGCTTCCGGGTGCTCGGCGGCAGCGACCGAAACCAGGTGAGGTGCTCGGGCTCCTCCAGTATGGCAACGTCGGCCTCTTCAGGGGGGATGAGCGCACAAATGTCGACCGTTGCAAATATCGATCCGAGCAGCTTGTGGAACTTGGCGGGGTAGAAGGATATCCTGAGCTTGTCCACTTCGTCGTCGTCGTTGACGTTGTTGTTGATGTTGTTGTTGCTGTTGTTGTTGCTGTCGCTGTCGTTGCTGTCGTCGCCGCTGCTGCTCCCGTTCTCGCTCTCGCCCTCGCCCTCGCAACCGGTGAGGATGCGCTCCCTGGAATAGTCCCGGATCCAGGCCTCCTGTTCCTCCGGGGTCTCAAAGACGTTCGAGCCGTAGACCGAGGCCTGCTCCCTCGGAGAGGCCAGCCAGGGGACCATGAGCGTCACCGCGTGGCGGGGCCTTCCGCGGGTCAGAAAGAGGGCCCGGGCCAGGGGATTCACGGCGGTCCCGGTCCTCCAGGGCAGCGCCGCCGTCGTCACCACGTAGATCCTCCGGGAGGGATCGGACAGGTCCGAGACGGCCGCCATAGGGGGAGAGATTGCGGCGCCGGGGGATTCTTCCTCTGGGGGGCATCCCTCGGGTGGAGAGTCCCCTGCCTCCCCCGTGGTGGCTGACTTTTCGTTCCTGTTGTCGTTCCTGTTGTCGTTCTCGCTCGGGGCCCCCGCCTCGATGGACGCTACCGGGTGGCACGGGATGGATCCAAAGTCCATGCTGTCCTGGATCGCGTCGACGATTCCGCAGGGATCGCTCATGCTCCCTCGGCCCACCCGCGTCGTGGCTGGCTGTCGATCGGGTTTCTCTGCCTCTGGATTTGGCTCTGGCTCTGGATCTCGATCTGGATCTGCCTATGCTTTTGCTTCTGCTATGCTATGCTACGCTTTTGCTTATGCTTTTGCTTATGCTTTTGCTCGCGGTTCGTCCGTGTCCCGTTGGAAAATCCGCAACCGTGCCAGTAGTTGTCTCTCGATGGGGTTGTCGGGAGAGATGGATGCTCTTCGCCCGGCGTTGGTGCTTCGAAGGGTACGACTTGTGCTTGTCGGTTCTGTCCTGGCCTGTCGTGTCGTGTCCTGCCCTATTTGTTCCGGTACATGGGTCGTTCGAATCGTCTCGGGTGGGGGAAGAGTACGGTATGTACCGGTACCACTTACCGTACGGTATCAACTGTGAGTGGCAGTGTAGCGTAGTGGACGGCAGTAAGTACCGACCTTGCGGTAGGGTGCAGAACGTACTACGTGCCGGTACAGGTACGAGAGAAACAATTCGCAACGGGAATTCAAACTCCACAAATTCAGTCCGCTTCCTTGGTTCGTTCGTGGTTCCATTTCCAACGGTACTCGTACTTGTACTCACAGGGTTAGGAACGTGCGTTGTACGAGTACGAGTACCTGTGCTTCGATACCCGTAGGCACCGTTCGAATGGTACCCTACTACTGCCACGGCTCATCCCTTCCTAAATGCGACATACGCATCGCATGTCCCCCGACGACGGCACGGCGGGCGACGCACCGGCACGGCCGAGCCCCCAAACGAACTTCCTCCTCGGTAGGACCGGCACAGCGAAACCAGAGGAAGGACATACCGGTACTGTTTCGAAGGGCAAGCAACTGTACGAGTACGAGTACAGGTACGAGTAGTACCTGTTCGAAAGCAACTGCAGACGTCGATGCCAGCTACCAACCCTCGATCGTATGGTACGTACGTACGAGTCCTGGTCTACCATCATGGCATCCGCAATCGTCCTCGTCATCCACCCTTCGGAGGGAGTTGATGATTCATTCTTCGTCTCGGGAGTACGAGTACTGGTACGAGTACGAGTACCGGTATGAACGATGAACGAGCAACTCATACCGTACTAGGTACGTATTGGTCCTGTAGTACGTACGGATGTACGTACGAGGAGTTGGACTAACGAAACGAGAACGAGGAACGACAAATTCGCAGATACATACAGGTACTCGTACATACCGTACAGAAGATGCACACTATTGTTGTCGCTCCATCGATTGCGGTTCGAGAGCAGGAGACACCGTCCCTGTCCCCCGTCCCGACAAAGCATCGTTGTCCCTTCCATAACGAATCGTTACCCGTTTGCTGGTTTGTTTCTTTGTTCTTCCGACAACGAATCAAAAGCTAAGTTTTTTCGGCGAACAAACACCCTTTCGTTTCGAGAGGCGTCCCAAGAACCGAAACCGTTCCTTGCCGCATCGACCCTTCCCATCGGTGGCGTGCCCAACCGACCGAACAACACAACACAACACAACACAACACAACACAACACANACAACACAACACAACACAACACAACACAACACAACACACGACCGCAGCGGCGACGATGCGAGTCCTCCCCCTCCGGCCGGTGGCCCTCCTCCTCCTCCCCCTGCTCCCGGCACCCTCCGTTTGCCTGAGCCAGCCCTCCCGTTCCGGCTGGAAGCCCAGCATCGAGTCCCTCGCGGACCGGGTGGCCCTCCGCCAACGGGAGGTCCGGACGGAGACGATCGGGTCCCTGGGCTTCCACCACGTCGAGTTCTACTGCGGGGACGCCCGGACCACCGCCCACCACTTCTGCGCCTCCCTGGGACTCTCGGTCACGGGGACCACGGGGCAGGCCACGGGGAACGACAAGTGCGTCTCCTACGGACTGGAGAGCGGGAGCAACGGGGAGGCCCTGCGGATCCTGCTGACGGCCCCCTATTCCCTGGCGACCGCCTCGCCAGCTAGCGACGACCCCTGGGAAGGCGAGAACGAAGACGACGACGCCTACGACGCGCCCCGCCCACTCCCGGGCTTTGACGCGGCCTCGGCCCACTCCTTCTTCCGGACGCACGGCCTGGCGGTCCGGGCGGTCGGCCTGGAGGTCGCGGACGCGGGGGCCGCCTTTCGGGCTTCCGTGCAGCGGGGGGCCATCCCCGTCCTGGAGCCCACGGTCGTCCGGGCCTGCAGGGCGCAGCGGCAGGCCAAAGGCGACGGCAAAAGCCAGGCCGAGGGCCCGAGCCGGGAGATGGCCGAGGTCGAGCTCTACGGGGACGTCGTCCTGCGGTTCGTCGGGCCGACCGGTGCCGGGGGCGCTGTGGCCCCTTCCGGGGAGATGCCCTTTCTGCCACACCTGGCCCCCACCGGTGATGGCGATGGAAACGGAAATCCATCCGAGGGCTTTGGGATCTACCGGATCGACCACGCGGTCGGGAACGTCCCCGACCTGGAGGAGGCCCACGAGCGGATCAAGGCCTTTACGGGCTTTCACGAGTTTGCCGAGTTTTGCCCGGAGGACGTCGGCACGGTCGACTCGGGGCTCAACTCGGTCGTCCTGGCCAGCGACAGCGAAGAGGTCCTCCTCCCACTCAACGAGCCCACCGAGGGCCGGTACGTTCCCCCGCGAAAGCGAAACCGCCGCCGCAGCCTTAAGCACCAACGTTCCCAGGGCTCACCCCGTTGTTGTTTTGTTTTTCTTTCTTCCTTCCTTCCCGCCTCCCAAACAGACGAAAATCCCAGATCCAGACGTACCTGGAACAAAACGAGGGCGCGGGCCTACAGCACCTGGCGCTCAAGACGAGAGACATTTTTTCGACCATTCGAAAGATGCGGCAGAGCGAGAAGGACGTCTTTGGGTTCGAACTGATGAAGCGACCGAGCGACGAGTACTACAGGGAGCTCCCGGACAGGCTTGGGGACCAGCTGACGCAGGACCAGTACGAGCAACTGGAGGAACTGGGCATCCTCGCGGATTCCGACGAGGAGGGAATCCTGCTGCAGGTCTTTACCAAGCCGATCGGCGACCGGCCCACCTTTTTCTTCGAGATCATCCAGCGCATCGGCTGCGTGGTGTCGCAACAAAACGGAAGCGATAGCGAACACGAAGCCGCCGGCCGGGGGACACCGATCGAGCGGCCGGGCTGCGGTGGCTTTGGCCAGGGCAACTTTCGAGAATTGTTCAAGTCGATCGAGGACCACGAAAAGACGCTCAAGGTGTAGGAGTTGGCGCCGCCACCGATCGTTCCGAACCGGGGGCCGGGTGTTCGTACGCACGGACGCACGCTGGTGGTTCTAGGTTTGGGAGAGCACTTTATTCTAGATGCACCGAAGCTAGCAGTGCCATCACGACCCTAGTCTGTACCATTCGATCGTTGTTAATAAATTATTTTTTGTAGACCTTTCGCACTGAAATATATTCCCAAACAGATACAAGCGTGTCCTCTTAAAACACACCTCCGACAGCGTTTCGATCGCTCCGTTTCGTTTCCGTCCCTGCCCGACGAGCTAAAAATTTCCCCAGAAATCGTCGTCGTCCTCGAAGAAGTCGAGTTCGCCCGGAGCCGGAGTCTTTGGGAACGCGTTGCTGAACTGGTTTCGTTCCTTCAGGTCGTGGATCTCGTCCTTGCACTGCTCCAGCTCATACTGTAGGTTCGTGATCTTTTCTTCCTTTTTCGCGAGCTGCTTCTTCAGCTTCGCAATGTCCTCTCCGGCGGTGGAATCGCTCATCACGCTGCCGAACCCGTGCGAGTCGGAACTCGGGGTTCGTCTCAGGCCCCGTCCGTTCGTTTTGGCGAGCAGCGCCTGGAGGCTCGAGATGCCGGCCTCGCTTTCCTTTAGCTTCTTGGTTTGCTCCGCCCTGTCGTTTTCTTCCCGTGCCAGCTTGAGTTCCAGGTCGGCGAGCTGCGACCGGAGGGCGGAAACGTCGTCGCCGCCACTGCTTTTCAGGCTTGCGTGGGCCTTGCGAAACGCCTTGTTTTCTTCTTCCAGCTCTTTTATGAGGCTGTTTCGTTCGTGGATCTCCGCTCTTCGTTGTTTTGCCTTGTCCCGCATGGCTGCCAGGGATACCTCCTGCTTGACGGTCACTCGCTTCAGGGCATACAGCGCCTCCTTGAGCTTGCCCATGTCGCTGTTGGCCTTGCTGCTGCTACCAGTGCTGTGACCGGATTTCGACATACCATCACTCGCCTCGCTCTTCAAGCGCTCGTTCTCCTGCTTGAGCAGTTTCAGTTTTCCCTGGAGCTCGGCGATTTTTTCGGTTTTCGTTATCCTTCGCTTCTCCCCGTTCTTCGAAGACGACATCTTCCTGATATTATTTATTTGTCAAAGTAAATCGCGGCTCTGTGGATGCTTCGAAACGCGACAAGTTGAAGTCTTCCTTTCTGATCTCTCCCTTTAGCTGAAAGGCTTGTGGTTCTCGATGCGCTGTATTGTTGGGTTGGGTTGGGTTGCGTTTCCCACGCGTGACGATTGCCGCAAGTTCGGTTACTGTGAAAATGGCGATGAGGTCAACGGTGCGGAGAAACTGCCGTCGACGAATTATTCTCATTGTTTAAAAATAACCTTCGATTGTATTTGAACAGTACCGTATTTCTAAAAAGCATCCGTACGAACCGCACATTAGAAAGGTCGTTCATCCAACAATATCACGCATAGGTCATTGCCATGTTTCCTCGGGATAGTAACACTAAAAATGTACCCAACGGTAATCATAGCCTCGATGCCCGCCTAAAGAGACCCGCGACGTGAAAAAAATAAATAATGAAAAAAATAGGCTTAGTTAAAAATCGGTCATAGCCATTAAATGGCAACGCACCGCGCTGGGAAGGTTTTTTTTCGCCGTTTAGCGCAAAGTAGCGTACGACTTCGAACTGAAATGAGTGCTGCATTACGATCCGTGGTGATGCGTACTACCCTAGAGCTTTCATTCCAAAGGTCACTTGCCTCCTTATGTTCCTAGAATCGAGAACGAACAGGAAGACAGCTTACTACTACTCGTAGGTCCTACTCGTGCACGAATAATAAAGCAATATTCAATATTCCAACTCGGGCTATGAACAACAATAACAAACTTCGCAGTTTGCTTTACTCCTGCTCGAAAGCACATGGCCTCAGGGCTTGCTTACAGTAGAGCTATTAATGGTAAGTCCCGTACTGGCAAGTTATTGGCAATTCCCATACAAATGCTAGTAGAAATTTTTAGCTCATTTTATCAGTAAAAA